GAGCCGGACCCGGGAAAGGGCTCGGTCCCGGCTGCAGCTGCTCGGGAGTAGCCCCTGCTCTGTTACCGTGCCTGGTGGTGGGTAATGCATACGGCTACGAGTAACAAACGTACAGGCGTTGAATTGCTTAGTAAAGGTGAAACATACATTAGAGAATGTTTTAATAGGGCCACAGAAATAATTAGGTTGAAGAGACCTCCGAGATCATCGAGTTCAGTCTATGACCGAACGCCTTGTCGACTGCCAGTCTTTTCTCGAACACCTCCAGGGATGGTGGCTGCACCACCTCCCTGCACAGCCCATTCCAATGTCTGGTGATCCTTCCTATGAAGAAATTCTTCCTAATGTTCAATCTAAGTTTTCCCTGGCCCAGCTTCAGACTGTCTTCTCGTCCTGTCACTTGCTACCTGAAAGACTCCTACCCGGCTACACCTCCTTTCAGACATTTGTGGAGAATGGTAAGGTGTCCCCTGAGCCTCCTTTTCTCCAGGATAAATACCCCCAGCCCCCTCAAAAATTCCCCACAAGACTTGTGGTCCAAATCCTTCACCTTGCCTTTCCCTGGACATAGACAACATTAAAGTATGTACACTAAATCTGTTTGCATGATTTCTAGATGAAAATGTGGTCCCCTAGCCTAAGCCGTCCCCTAAAATGCACTTCCCAGATCAGTGCTGATAAAATGAGATTTTAAATGATGTCTTCCTCCAGGGAGAGTGTCATGTGGCTGATCCTGTACTCCAGGGTTGTAAGGGCTGCTGTGCCCAGCTGTGACACCTCCTGCCCTGCTGACCTACAGCCTGGCTCAGGACCATGCCTGTAATCAGCCCCACTGGCACTGCATTACACTCTTTTTTATAAAAGGGTTTTTTTCCAGTATAGCTTTGATACTGGCTTACATGACTGAGAAAATGTCTCAGGCTTCCTTGTCTTCATTTGCACACTGGGAGGAACATGGGAGTTCACCAGAAGTTAGGTTGACAGGGAATTTGGATAATGAATGTACTTGATAATCCACAAAGCATTTGATCACTGAGGAGGGCTGTTACTGTGCCTGTCTTTAACATACACAATTAGATTTTAAAACAAAGTTTGTTGGCACATCTTTACCGGCTGCCTAGTGAGCAGCATTGCCAAAACAAGTTTTCCTAGAAGCCCAGGGGAGGCAGATTGAGGTAGAATATACTTCCACAGAATAATTAACACTCATCTTCCCAGAAGTACAATTGCAGCCATACCAAATGAATCAGAAGTGTTGCAACAGATGCTGTATCGTTAAATACCAGATGTACAGCACTGGAGTTAAATACTAAATTGACTGCAAGTTGTTAAGTAGCACAGGTGAGGTCAATGTTGGAGTCTAACATGCAGCTGATATATTTGCTGGCTGCTTGTTATTTTGGCAAGAGCCTAACAGTTAAACAAGAAAAAGGAAGTTAAGAGTCCCTATTTTTTACCCTACATAAAGATGTTTGAAAGCATAGAGAAATTCTTGAAACATTTGTACCTGAAGAGTCACTGCTATACTCCAGAAGAGATGCTAAGTTTAGGTTTATTGTTTCCTCTCTAAAACCAAAGAGAACCACTAACTATTTCATATTCTTTTATCCATCTGAATAACTGAATTTGTGTATGGTTTTGGCACTCTAAGTATGAAACAGGAAGGAAAAGAATAAAACTGGAACATCATAGACAGATTAATAGATATTAAGTGTGGTTGTCTACCAGGATTTACACAATCAGCTGCTGTACATGACCCTTTATATTGGCAAACTCTGAAAACTAATGGAGACAAACAGCAAATAAAAGAGCATCAATAACAGCCTACTCTGCACGGGACAGCCAAGTACACATAAAGCAATTGCTAATGAAGTACCAAGACTCCTGGCATGCAGCTGCAGCATCCTAAGAAAAAAATATCAACCTTATTTATGAGCATCTCAACCATTAGTTACCAATCACTAGCAATAAACAGAGAAACATCCTAAATTGCATGGTATTTCAGGACACCCAAACTTTAAGCCTGTATTTCATAAAATCAAGTTAGTAAAAAAAAAAAAAAGTCTCATTTACATTCAAGTTGCTAAATGCTAAACTAAAAAAAAATTATTATTTCTATATACCATGATTGTACATGGGCTTTTGTGCCACCTGAACCTCTGTCCAGGGGACAGTTGTGTGAAGATCTTGTTATGTTGCTCATAAGAGGGGGAAGACTTGCTACCATATCAGTCATTTCCTCAGGCCTGCTTTTGCAAAAACTCTAGAACCCTTTTTTATACAGCATATTACCTTGTCTACAAAAAATTATAGGGTTAAGTTGCCTTACCAGGTCTTCAGGAAGAACAGGGACTATGGTTACAACCTTTTAAGATTTAGATCCTGTTTTATGGAGACACTTTAAGTTTACATAGAACTGGCTGCAGACCAGGAAAGACAGGTGACTGGATTGAAATATAGGTCTTTGAAAACTTTTTTTCTCATCCCTGTATATTTAAAATAACTCAGTAACTGACTCTACTACTCTAGCTACAACAGTCCACCATGGTTCTCCAGTATTACTATCTAGCAAGAAATATGTGATATGTAAAGCCTAATAAGAAATAAAGGATTTTTGGTGTTCCTTGTATGAAAAATGAAGTAATATAAAGCAAATTTGAATATTTTTTAATCTGAAATTCATTAACAATTTCAAATTCATACAGTGGAGAGAGACTTGCCATGTTCCCAGATCCACTGGAAGAGCTGATGATATTGACTTAATATAGTTTAAATTACCCTTCAGGACTCCCATCATATCCTGCCTTGTGGGTCTCTCATATAGCATAGCAAGGGGAAAAAAGGAAAAGGGAAAGACTTTTGATTTTTGTACCTTTTATGATCCTACACATATACAGTTAACACAAAGCAGCTACATACCAATAGTACAAAAAAAGTG